CCAAAGGTCTGTGCCATGGTCTTCTGCTTACCCAGGTACATAGTGGAGAAGAGGTGGAGGAGGTGAGCCTCCTTCAGTGCTCTAGATAGGAGGATGGCAGTGGACCTGCTATTTTGCCCCAAACTGGAAAGGCTGAGAGCAGTCACACTCTGAAGATAAAGGAGCCTCCATGGCACAGTGTATCAGGAGTGGACCACCTGCCCCTGACTGCAGTAGGCCTGGTCTCCAGAAAAGCCCATGAGTGAGATCCGTCCAAGACTCAGTAAACACCATTTGCAAGTTGAGTTCCTTATGAGTTACGTTGTAAATGTAGGTAGTTTCTGTTCAGTGAGGCTGGATTGGAAACTTCATTTTGTTTCTAACCTTTTGCCTGACAGGGTAAATTTAGGCTACAGAAGCCCTTGGTGTGGCCATGTTAGAAAACAGATGCTGGCTGAAGCAACTCCACAACCTCTCTAACAGGGGCTGCAGGACATCATGGCCTGAGGTGCACCGCCCCACTTCAGTTGTGATCTGAGCTTTGAATTCAGGGCAGGCTTTTCAAACAAGCATGGCAGTCAGTGAGAAACCACAGCAGTGTGGGGAGAGGGGGGCAGCAACTGGGAGTTTTGGAGAAGAGAAGCAGCAAAGCAAGAACTAAAAGCAGGAGGCAGATGGTACGAAACTGTGAATGGGGAAGTGGGAAGATGCAAAAGGGGAATATAGCAAGCAGGGACAGTTTGCAGCCCAACCAGGCTGAAGCAAATTACTCTTTTCCCTGGTGGAGGCCCAGCACACACAGAAAAGGTCTCATGGCCGCTCAGGATTGCCTGAGCGATAGCTCACACAAATCCTATCAGGGCCCACAGTAATGAGAATACCTGCTGTGGCCATACCCTGTGTGTGCAAGGAAGTGAGCCTCGTGTTCCCCCCAGGAAAGGATTCCCCCTGCTACGCTGTCTGTGCTGAAGCACAAGCCTCCTGCTCAGCTCCGGCCCTCCTGTGCAGGGCTGTGAAGTGCAAACATCATTTCTGAAAGAGCCCCTTCACACTTTTCCCATCCTCCTTGACGGAGCAGAACCCCACAGAAAGAGGGGGAGAGATGGAGCAGTCCTCACTGCTTTGGATCCTTGTGGGGGGAAAAATGGTATAATGCATTTCCTCCCTTGCCCGCCACCCCACATGGGTGCTGTGCAAACCCAGCACAGATGAGTCACTCGGAGGTGACCCAGCCCCAGGGCGCTGGAAGTCTCTCGGAGCAAAACAGTCTCACTGAGCAATTCTTTCCCATTAGCATCTTCCTCAAACTCAGCAAAGGGAACAAGAAACCCCAGGTGGGAAGCCTCAGCCCTGCTGCACATGCAGAAGGAAACTCGTGTCAAGAGCACCTCTTGGTGGTGTGAGAGGACATCAAAGCAGCAACAGATCTGTATGTGCTCAGTTAGGGCTTATGGGCCTATTTCCTGCAGTTTCCTTCCCTTTCCTGCAGCGTATACAACCAAGAGGTTTTAATGTAGCAGGTGCCGGTTGTTCTCAGAGTGATTACAATATGTGTTATTTGAATGTAGTATCCCATTTTTAATGATTTAAATATGATGGAAAGAAACACCCTAAAAGCCTTTATCTAGATCCCTGTCATCCCTCTACAGAGGCACTGGCAGAGGAGGGATATTTATGGATTCACAGCACAGACCTCTAACTTGGATGAGAACTGACTATCCATAGCAGCAGTAAGAAATTATCTTCCAAAAGTAATTTGCCCAGAAGTGGGTTGGAGATATACCTTCTTGCCAGGACTTCCACAGCTCATTGTTGACCATAAAGAACTATAGTGTCTTTGACATGCAGCTCACCTGGACATGGGGTCTCAACAACAGTCCCTCCTCCCTGACCAAGTTTAACTTGTTGTCTTCTTCCCCACTCCCTTCCATGCTGCCAGTCCCACAAGACCACATGCCAGACTATAACAACAAAAGCACACACTGACATTCAGCAGGTCAGTTGTCCTTGTTCATCCCTGCCACCAGGTCCTACGGTGCCACTGGCCCATTTTCCATCCAGTCTCCCTTAGCCTGAATCCCATCCCTAGCCCCAGTATCCTCACATGACTGTTGCCCTGTCCCAGGTAAGACTCAATGTATTCTCCAGCTCTCCCCAGCTCTTTTCCCCTCAGTCCCCATCCTTCCCACACCAGGTGTTCACTCTCTGTTCTTCCCACCCTCCTTCTCCCCAGGCACATCAGGGTTATTGGAAACCTTCAGAGGAAAGCTCTGGTGAAATCAGAAATGTTCCTTTGGAAAAGCTGATTCCAAATGCAGTTTCAACAATTCCCAGAAAGAGGATAGTTTCCTGCTTGCCTATCCCAGGTTGCCTGAATCCCTAGGGACCCCACCAGCTCCAGCTCCCTGGGCCCTCACTTGCCACCCAGGTGTCTCCCACAGAGAGCTCTCAATGTGTCCAATTGCCCAGGGAGCTGTAATGATTGTTCTCCATCCACCAGTAGCATTCTCTAGAGCCAGACATGCCTTCCTTCTCTTCTGACTGAGTCCTTATATCCTGGCCCACTATACTCTGTGCCTGCCTGCCCTTTCCAGCTCCTGCTGCTGCTCCCCCTGTAACAGCTTTTGTCACTCTCTCTTCCGTCCTTCTCTGACCTGTATTCCTATGGCCTGTTCCTGCTCTCACTTGCAGAGGAGTCAGTGGGTTTCCTGCCTCCCCCTTCCCTACCACCCACAGAGGGAACACCTAGTACAGCTGGTTGCTTTGTGCTTCTCAAATACCTGCAATATTTGGAAACGTTCCACAGTTGAAGGTTTCTGGGTTGTGACCAGTGCTGAGTGACAGATGGGAGAGCTCTCCTCCCAAGCAGGTCAGTTGCAACAGCCTCCCGTGGCTGCAGCAGGACAAAGGCCATCAACCTTTGGAGAAAAATTTTCCCTCAGAGTTCCTTTCTTCAGGAACATCCCAGCTGAAAATCCGCTGTTCTTGATCTAACTGGTCTCCTGACAAAGCCTGGAAATTCTAATTAATTCTGTGTCACTACACCCCTTCTTCTATAAAACGCATCCCCTGCTCATCCACTCATCAGCTCAGGCTGGAGCGCACAGATGTGCACACATATGCACTTTTCCAAGCATAGTGTTGCATGGGAGGAGAAGGAAGGAAGAGGAGGCAGACCCTCATTTTGAGAAGGGAAGGCCTCCTGGGATCTTTCTGCTCCTTGTCTCTTCTGTCTTAGAGTGATTGCTTCCTTCTCCTTGCTGCTTAGCTCTAAAATTATTTTATCTTCTGAGGACAATGAGGACAGGCTGAGAGAGTTGGGGTTGTTTAGCCTGGAGAAGAGAAGGATCCAAGGAGACCTTATTGCAGCCTTTCAATACATAAAGAAGGCTTGTAAGAAAGATGAGGACAGACTTTTTAGTAGGGTGTGTAGCGAGAGGACAATGGGTTATGGTTTTAAACTAAAAGAGGATAGATTCATACTAGATATCAGGAAGAAATTTTTTATGATGGGCATGGTGAAACACTGGAACAGGTTGCCCAGAGAGGTGGTAGACGCCCCATCCCTGGAGACATTCAAGGTCAGGCTGGACAGGGCTCTGAGCAACCTGATGTAGCTGAAGATGTCCCTGTTCATTGCAGAGGGATTGGACTAGATGACTTTTAAAGGTCCCTTCCAGCTGAAACCATTCTACAATTCTATGACAAGATGGAAAAAGTCTGGCAGCAGCTCCCACTGGCTGCTTTTGCACAGAAGTAGGGGAGAGGGTGGATAGGGAGAAGCTGGTTTGCAGGGGCTCCTCTCATCCACCAGTCTTGGCTCTCATAGTACCGGCAGGGGAGAGAAAACAGTTCATTGCATCCCTTGATGCATTTGCTCTGCTTCACGGTGAACACACAGGTTCACACAATACTTCTTTGTACTAGTAATCTGGGCAGGTGGGGAAGTGTGGCAGGACTGTATCACCCCAGCAGAGGAGGGACAGAGCAGCCATGGGGTAGCTGCTGCTTCCTAGAGGCTGCTTAACTTCCTTGTTCAGCCTTCAGAGGAAAAAATTGTTCCTTCTGATGTTTTGCCATTGACACTCAGGGGCATGATCTGAAAAATCTTCATTGCCCCATGTCACCCCACTACTCCCACTTCAGATTCCCTCCCCAGCTTACACCTCCTCCAAAGTTTGGATGATAAAGGAGGGAGGAGAAAATCCACCCCTCCACTTTCTCATCCTGCTTCTAACCCTTGTTCAGGTCCCCTGTAAAAGCAGTTTGGTGCCCCCAGCTGTTCACTGGGATGGTATAAGAAGGGAGTGGGTGAGACACGTGGGGAGAAAAAAAAAATACAGCAGTCATCATCCCAACCATGAAGTCATGCTTGCCCCACCTTCAGCTAACGGCCTCGGCCACAGAGCTGCTGTTGTGGTGGGAGGGCAGTATCCTGGTTTTGGCTGTGACAGAGGTAATTTTCTTCCCAGCAGCGGGCATAGTGCTGTGTTTTGGATTTAGTATGAGAATAATGCTGATAACACACTGATGTTTTAGTTGTTGCTAAGTACTGCTTACACTAGTCAAAGACTTTTCAGCTTCCCATGCTCTGCCAGGTGCACAAGAAGCTGGGAGGTGGCACAGCTGAGACAGTTGATCCAAATGCACCAAAGGGGTATTCTATACCATATGTGGTCATGCTCAGTATATAAGC